ATGCATCTGTTCACTACCTAGTGGGGATGTAGCATGGGAGACTGTACAGTAAAATATGAACAAGAAATTGAAGGACTCATTATACACTGACGCTCCTCTTACCCATCTCATGCTGTTATATGAGGATAGTGGAAAATATTTCCTAATTCTCAAAGAGAGTGATCTTTTATATTTCCAAAAAAGTTACATTAGCGGAGTTCAAAATAAAAAGGGGGAGGGGAGAAAAAGTGAACTTCATTCTTTGACTTTCTGTAATTGTGTAAAGTATCATAGTTGTTTACGATTTTCATATGTGATGCATAAGATATGAAAAGATCACAAAGTATACATGGAAATTTAAAGGAATAAGGAAAGAGTCAGGAATTATGCCTGATTTTTAGATCTTTAATTTAGGAAGTCAAAGGATGTAATTGCCAGTTTACACAACCTAAGTAATGCACATAGAAAGTATGTGTGTTAACCATGTTAAAAAAAAACAACCAAAACAACTCTGTACCACCCACACTGTAGATAAGTGGCACTTTATTCTCTCACTTTAAAGACACCCTTTAAAGATTTGTAGATGTAAAAACTGACCTACTTTGGCAGTGGTCTCATCGGGAAGTTTTTATTTTTGGGAACCATCCCATATACAATATTGCTTTCTTAAAACAATTCACCTTATAATTATAAAAAAAATGTTAAAAACCACAATTCACTGTTACACCAACAGTAAACAAATCAATGTTTGCACAATATATGTGACAAAATACATTTTGGTTACTGTGAGTCTGTTCTTCTAACCCTATGATTCTACACAGTAGTTTTGTTAAGATTTTCCTGGCAGCAAAAGTTTGAAATGAAAAATACGTTGAGAAGATCATTAAAGCAAGCTCTTTTGGCTTCTATGTGGGATCGCTATCAAAGAATGTCAATTTGTGGAGCTACCAATGTTAACAGCATTCTCTGAAATAACGCTTTGGTTGTGGCACAGTACACTTTTTATCCGCAGAATATAGCATCTCTCGCCACTCATTTTATTATTATTAAACATTTATATTGTGATAGAGCCTACTGGTCAACCAAGTTGAGGCTCCATTGCACTAAGAACTGTAGAAAAATAAAGGAGGATTTTCAAAGGCAAAAAGGGCAGGCAGGTACGGAGTCGGGCACTGTGAAAGGGAAGACTCCCCACCAGTGCCACCTCGTGGTCAGGCAGGGGCGCGGCAGGTTGTCTCCCTTCTGTTTCTCCTTTCCCCATTTTCTGTTCTGTTTTGTGGGGTCTGTCCCTTTTTTTTTTGGCTCAGCCCTCTGCAAGGGTCACACATTCTAGTCCACCCTTTTCAAGGTATACAAAAGAAAGTCCGATATTGGGGGAAGTCTTTCAGGGCCATCAACGGCTTCAGGGCTTTCTCCTTAGTTCAGGGACTTGGAGTATGGACCCTTGAGAACTCAGGATCTTCCCCTGCTGGATTCCCCACAAAGGTAAAGGCTCCCATTGTTGTCCTGTCTTGTGGACTTGGTAGGGGAACATAGGCCCTGTCTCTCCACCATGCTCTGATCCAGTACTCGGTGGTGGATAAATAAGTTCTGTACCTTGGGGTGCTAAGCAGCTGCCTCCTTGGATCACTTTGTACCTAAGTCCTCTTTTACCCACAAGGTAAATTAAAGTTTCTGCCCTTCACAGTCAGTTGCCAGTCTCTTCTTTGCAGGCTTTGTCAGGTCTGTGTTGCCAGATCTCTGCCTACAAGAGCTCCTAGGCCATACTTCCCCAGAGCGCAGAACGGGTCATACTGAAAGGTGAACTGTCAGGCTGGAGGGAGGTTACTAGTGGAGACCCTCAGGCATCAGTCTTGGCACCAGTCTTATTTAATATATTTATTACTGACCTTGGCACAAAAAGTGAGGGTGGGTTAATAAAATTTGCAGATGACACAAACTTGGGAAGTATTGCCAATACAGAGAAGGATTGGAATATCACACAAGAACATTTGTAGAGCCCTGCGCAGATACAAATTTATATCTGCAGATGCAGATATAAATCGGTATCTGCAGAACCACAGGGTTCTCCCGGGAACCGCAGTGGCGAAAGCAGCAGAACATGGGGCTGCTGCTTCAAGGAGCCAACGTCCCACGCCGGCAGCTCCTCCTGCGTGGCTGTACTCCCCCCAGCCCTACCTACTGGGGCAGGCACTAGGCTCACTGGCAGCTGTCCCTGGTCGCACTCTTGTGTTTAAGTGGCATGTACACCCTAGACAGGAGGCACAGACAGCTGCGTGGAAGGGATGGAAGCAAAGCTGGGGGCGATACAGCCGTGTCAGAGGAGCTGCCGGCATGGGGAGCTGGCTCCTGGGAGCAACGGCCCCACATTTTGCTTCTTTTGCTGCTGCAGTTCCTGGGAGAGCCCCGCAGATACTGATTTATATCCGTGGATATCCACATCCGTGGGATATAAATTTGTATCTGCGCAGGGCTCTAAAGATCTGGATGATCTTGTAAACTGAAGTAATAAAAATGGGATGAAACTGAATAGCGAAAAGTCATGCATTTAGGGACTAACAACAAGAATTTTTGCTATAACCTGGGTACTTATCAGTTAGAAGCAACAGAGGAGGAGAAATCCTGGGTGTATTGGTTGATCACAGGATGACTATGAGCTGTCACTGAGATGCGGCTGTGAAAAAGACTAATGCAGGTGAGGTATTTCCAGTAGAGACAGGGAAGTTTTATACATTATACAAGGCAATGGTGAGATCTCATCTGGAATAGTGTGTGCAGTTCTGGTCTCCCATGTTTAAGAAAGATGAATTCAAACTGGAATAGGTTCAAAGAAGGGCTAGTAGGATGATCTGAAGATCATCATAAAGAAAACTTACCTTATGAGAGAACAAATGGATATAATCTGGCCATCAATAAGTTTAGGCTTGAAATTAGGTTTCTAAGCATCAGAGGAGTGAAGTTCTGGAATAGCCTTCCAAGGGGAGCAGTGGGGGGCAAAAACCCTAACTGGTTTCAATGTCATGTGGCCCATTGGCGACTGCCAGAAGCAAAAATCCTCAATAGCTGGAGACGGGACACTAGATAAGGAGGGCTCTGAGCTACTACAGAAAATTCTCTCTCAGGTATCTACCTGGTGGGTCTTTCCCCCATGCTCAGGGTCTAACTGATCACCATATTTGGGGTCAAGAAGGAATTTTCCTGCTGGGTCAGACTGGCAGAGACCCTAGTGGTTTTTCACCTTCCTCTGCAGCATGGGACACGGCTCGCTTGCAGGTTTAAACTAGTGTAAATGGTAAATTATCTGTAACTTTAAGTCTTTAAACCATGATTTGAGGACGACAGTAACTCAGCCTGAGGTTATGAGTCTATTACCGGATTGGATGGTTGAGATTCTGTGGCCTGCAGGGTGCAGGAAATCAGACTAAATAATCATGATGGTCCCTTCTGACCTTAAAGTCTATGAGCAGAGGTCTAATCTCCTCCACTGCCTTGCTTGCCTGCCTCCCCCGAGCTACTCTGATTCCCTTTTTTAAACTGTGCCTCCAGCTTCTGCAGGCTTTGCAGGTGCAGCGGGGCAGGGCCCCCTGGACCCAGAGCTGCTCCTTACCCTCTTGTTCTCCAGTGTGCAGTTTGTACACCCATCACAGACACCTGACTGTCCTTTGTGCCTTTAAAAATAACAGTTCTTTGCCCCAAACAGCCCAAGGATGGTACAGAATCAAATAAGATCCACTGGGGAGAATTTGAACTTTACCTGCCCAGAAGGGTGGGGAGGGGGAAGCAGGAGCTGCTCCAAAAACCAGATGGGTACACTGTCACTTTAAAAAAATTCTGATGGACAAATGATATATAACACTTCTGACTTGGTAGAGAAGGTAGAGGAAATATATTATGATGGATGAAGTTAGGTAAACTCAGCATTTTTATGATGGTCTGTACAGAAATCTGAACCATGATTATTATACAATCAACAAGGCATTTTTAACACTCACTCTGTTTGGATTCTGCATGTGAACAATGTTGAATTTTTTCCATATTGTAATGGTGCCTCTGAGGATATCAAATAAATCTTTCAATTGTTAGAGAAAATTAGAAACAGTTTAAGGGCAGTTTGGCCATGCTATTTGCTCAAGGCTTTCACTACATAACCCTTTAGTAATGGTGCATGACCCGGAAGGAGACATAGTCTGCCTCTTGTGGGAAATTAGACAATTAGTTACTCTAAATTATACTTCAAGAAATATGAGCTGAAACTAACCATATGGGTAAATATGCAGCAAATGCTCTCTCTCATCATATGTTTGTTTGAAAAGTTTTACCTACTCTGCACAATGGCTTCACAGGTATGAAATAAGGTTGTAATTATTTAAACAATGTTAGAAAGGCAGCCAGTTACCTATAAACAATATAACTTCCTAATTCCCAAGAGCCTGATTCTGTTGTTTTCACATTTACATACAGTACTAATTTTTATCCAGGACCGTTTTCAGACTTAGTTATGGACAAACTACTGGGTTCACAAAGAATATGACTTAGGACTGTGGTAAGGGCAATATTGGAGCATGTCTCACTACATAATATATTCATTCAAAGATGAGTTAAAAACCAAAAAGGTTATCGATGGAGAGCAAGTAGACCTGGTATACTGGTTATTATTCAAAGTAATTAAGTGTATCCAGCTTTATGCTCTAGATTCTTTTCTCCGGTTAGGAGAATTGAAAAGAAACATGAAATGACGAAAATATACCATCCCTAACCTCAACTGTAATTTGTGTTTAATACTACTTACATGTAATCAGTGCTTTGTGGATGAAGTTTTTAATGTACAAATTATAGCATGTATCCAATTGTGAAGGTAAAAGCTAAACAAGAATGGATTGACTAACTTAGTTACATTACCTTGAAATAACTAGTTATCCATCCTGCTTCACAGCTGTTAGTCATCATGCTCTCATTGTCTTAAAAAAAAAAAGATATAATTCCCAGGGTACATTATTCACTCTTTTCTTCTTATATTACAGATGGGCCTGGACTGGAAGGGCACAGATGAACCAAGAGTTCATGAACCTCAGAGTTCAGGCCCAGCACTAAAAGATGAATCTGAACTGGAACACTGGATCCAATACCCCTTGATCTTTGGAGAAGTTTTGATCTAGGCTGATATCCATTTTCAGGACTCAACTTAGCAGCATTGACTCTTTTCTAATTAGCATGTAGTCTGCAGTGTTTAATGCTTAAACCAACTCTTACACAGCATACAATCCTGGTTCTTTTCCACCAATATTCATATCAACACCGAAGAGTATTTATGTTTAAAAAGGAGGGAAATGTGATAGTCATTTAATGCCCCCACACTGCTATGAAATTCCAGGCTTTTATGTGCAGGAAGCATTGTGTTGATTTTGGCTTCCCTATGGGTTAAAAATCTTGTTTAAATGTTGCAGACTCTAAATGCTCTTTGAGGTTTTTCACTGTTGTTTTATGGAAAGGCTTCTGCCTGATTATTTACAGATGCTGTCTCTGAGAAAGCCAAAAATAGTCTCCTACTAATTCTGAAATTTCAGCTTGCACTTTTATTATTTTACTGTGTAACCAAGAAACATTGCTCCAGGTTCTTTCATTTACATAGCAAAGTGGAGCCTTTTAGACCTTCTGCCAGCATCATGTGCCATGACAGTTCAGGGTAGCTACAATGACTACAAACACAGATATTAAGGCCCTATCCAGCAGATATGCATCTGCTACTGCTGCTTGCTCAATGGCCGTTCTGGGTGACATTGCCACAATGGTTCCTCCCTATTTCAAGATGGTACCTTCTCCTTCCTCCCCCTTCAAACCGTGTAGTCTGGAGAAGAGAAAACTAAGAACAGTTTTCAAGTACATAAAAAGTCGCGGAGGAGGGAGAAAAATTGTTGTCCTATCTTCAGAGGTTAACGAGAACAAGCAGTGGGCTTAAATTGCAGCAGTTTAGGCTGGACAAAGGATGAATATAAACAAATAATACAAGTTCGCATGGACAAAATTAGAAAGGCCAAGGCACAAAACAAAATTAAACTGTGCCCCTGAAAAGTAGACCAAATTATCTTCTGAATAGGTCAACCTGCTGCCTAGAAAATATCTATAGCCAGTGCAGCTTTGAAGGTTTTGGGTGTTTTCTGAAAGCAAGTTTCCTTACTGTAAATAGTATTATTGATTTTCTGACTATATATATATATGCGCAAATGTCATGTAGGGACCCCCCCCCTCCATTCAAAAACAAACTTTTGCACTTGTAATGTTCATGGTGGCTGGAGATGTACCAAGGAGGTGTTTAGTTTGACTACACTTGAGACACCAAATCATAGTCAAAGGAGTGCTAAAAATGAGATTTGGATTTGATTGTGACAAAATTTCACCATCTTATGAGTTTTCTGACATTTTGATCCTGAGATTGGACACTCTTTTAAGATTTTAGCTTTCTCCAAACTGGAGACAGAAAATAGGATTCTTTCAGATGTGGCTCTAATCTAGAATCAAAGTTTTAAAGGCAGATTCTGATCCAAACTTGAAATCTCACCCTTTTCTTCCTGAAATGTAAAGGAGCTAAGATTCCAAGTTCTGGGTTCAACTCACCTCTAACCACAGGCACCAACTTCCTCCTTGCCGCAGGGGGCACTCAAGCCCCCATTCTGCCCCAAGCCCTGCCCCCACTGCACCCCTTCCCTCAAACCCCTGCCTCTTTCCACCCCGCCTCTTCCTACCCCCACTCTGCCTCAGGCCTTGCCCCCACTGACTCCACCCCTTCCCCCAAACTCCACCCCACCTTCCTCTTCCCACCTCACCTCTTCCCACCCCCTGCCCCGAAGGCGCCCTCTCCCCGCTTCTCCTCCTCCTTCCCCCTCCTGACACCGCAGAACAGCTGATCGCAGTGGGTATGAGGCGCTGGGAGAGAGGGGGAGGAGCTGGCTCGACAAATTTTTTTCTGTGGGCACTTCACAGCTGGAGCACCCACGGAGTCAGTGCCTGTCTAACAATAGTATAAGCAAGATCAGTCCAGTCAGAATCAAGTATAGGTGACGATGACAAGTAATATATGAGAAAGTCTATCACAACACATCTGAATGTTCCATCAACTGTCACACAGGGCCAAATTTACAACTGCAAATGGCTATTTTCTGCTCTGCAAAATGTTCATGAGAAACTCCTGTGTATGTCAGCCTTCTATTTGCACAAAAAAGGACTTTTACATGCTCAGAATGCATTTTCTGCTTGCAAAAAGAAAAAAAATTGCCTCTGTTTTTTGCATGCACAATTACCCACTGTGTTTCTGTAGACAAATAGAGACACAATTTTTTGCAAAGGCCAAAATTTAAATTACAGAGACAAGGAAGTAACAGGCAATTTCCTGGAAGGAGAGCCTCCTCCTCGCATCCCCTTTCCACTATACCATTATCAAAGCTTCCCAAAGGGCAGCAACCTTTATGCTCCTGGGACTCTACCTGAGACTCTGCTGAGCTGTGAGAGGACACAGAGGATGCTAGAGTGAATAGGCGGTGGTGGTGGTGTTGCAGACCAGAAAGGCTCCTGTTATAGTGTTAGACAATGGCATCCTGTGAGATCCAATGTGGTCTTTTTATTGTGTATTTATTTAAAACTTTCTGCCCTGCATGCCCTGTCAACTGCATTTCTGTGTGTCCAGTTGACCCTGTCAGATACTGCCTGAGCATCTTGCTATTATGTATATGTTTTTAAGATTATTAAATATATAAATGTAGAAAAAATAGTTATCTACAGCTACCTAACCACAATGCAAGTTGGCCACACAATTTTTGCAACCACAAAATAAAGAGATAATTTGCAATTCTATAGGCCCTTCCACCTAAGGATTTCAACACATTTTACATATATCTATCTTTGTGCGACCATAGTAGCTGAGCGCCTTCCATGTAAAACAGTAACAATGGAGTTCTTAGAGGGCTTCATGGAGTCTCTGGCACTTTTCTCTTTTCAGGGTTTTTTGCTTCTCATTTGGCTGATTTGTTTGTGTTTGATTCCATTTTTGGGGTGGGTGGGTAGGAGGTTTGCTTGAATAGATGGGAGTATCAACAATGCAAGGGCAATTCTTGCTAGGGTGGAAAGACTTTTTCAACAAGGAAGGTTTTGCAGCATTCCTTAAGATGGTTAGACTCCACCTTTGCCTAATCTCCTCTGGTTGTTAATTCCATAGCCAGATCCTGGCATCTAAGAATGCTTTGAGCCCAGCTGCCACAGACTTTGTCCTGTAAGGTAGGTAAGTCTCTTAATCTTTATTTTTAAGATGAGTAAATGGACAGAGATAAGTGACTTTCCTAAAGTGAAACAGGCATTCCACGACAGAGCTAGAATAGAATCATGACTGCCTGACCCCCTTCCTTCCCTGTATATATAGCTCAACTTACTCTCCATCCTTTTTTTTTTTTTAGAAGGCTCCTAACTAGGCACCTTCCTGCTATGTGACTTTAAGCAAGCCACTTCTCTCTATGCTACAGAGTCCCTATCTGTAATATGGGGCTAATTACATTTATCCTCCTCAGAAAAGCAATTTGAGATATACACTACTGAAAAGTGCTACATAGCAGCTAAATATTACTATTTTAATGAAACAGCATTTCATTAAAATTGGATCAAACATTTGCCTGTCTTTGCTAACTTTGTTAATGAATATGCAGGTTATTAGTGCAACCAGACATAGGAACAAAAACATCACATGCTTAAGAATTAAAAAAAAAAAAAAGTTATCCACTTTGAGCTGTTAAAGAAATCTGATGCCAAAAATTTTTGCTGACCATTTACCTTAAGATGCAACTGAGCATTTCCATTCCTTTAATATATGTTGCAGGTGGGACTGTCTTTTATGAAAAATAATTCCCCAAAGAAAATTCTGTTATTGTTTTGAAATCCCAGGACAAAACTAAGAATTTGAAAATGTAGAAACAATTTTAGACAGGTTGTTCTGATAAAAAATATCAGAGTGCTTTCCTAATTCTGTACATATTTCTGTTTTCCTCACTGCTATATTCAGCATTTGTGGCTGGTAGCCCTAAATTTTACAATCTTTTTCTGTCATGAATGTGCAGTATTACCAAAAACCTGCAAATAATGTTTTTGGCTAACAAGCAAAATAGGATGCCTTTCTGAACAATTTGCTATCTGCAGTAGCAAACCTTAACTTCAAGCCAGAGAAAGTAGAAAAAGAAGGAAGATGAGGGATAGTGCATGCGACTGAGAATTGGAATGCTTTTGGGCCTGACTCACCACAATCTTACTATTGTTTTATGCTGGCATAATGCCATAGTAGTCAGTCAATGGAGTTGGAACAACAAAGCTGGAACAACAAAGTGGTGAATTGGGCCCTCTATTTCTAAGGTTAGAGGGTTTTTCTCCCACCTAACTCATCTACATAGTCATTCTATTTTTATAGATTTCGAATAACTACAGAGAAATCTGTCCAATATTACAGGCCTGGGGCAAATTTCATTGACAGGGCTAAATTATGGCCAGAGACTAACACTGGTCTTTCATGAAGGCACCTCAAGGACTAAATTCATCAGTGACAAACCGTTATGCAAGTTGCTTGTTGCGTGTAAGTTAACTGGCTCTCCCTACTTTGCAGGACTGGGTCTCAAAGGGATCTTCTGACAGAGAAAATAGGAGGTATAGTTCCATTCATTGACTGAGAAAGCTTCCTTCACAATGGAAGAGTTTGTGCCAGGAAAATGCTCGGAGCATACTGACAGCGTCTGCTCTTACCATGTGGTTATACAGCTCAAAGAATTCCCTGGAAATTTCACATCCTTCCTTTGATAACACACAGAAGAAATCCTTTGAAATGAAACCTAGTCCTTAAATCATGGGCATGCTAAAAATAGTGATGCCAAAAGTCTCTTGTTGTCATCTTGCCAGCCAGTTGCTCTAAGTAACTGGTCAACCCCTCCGCTTTAGTTTCACTGTTTCCACCTCATACCTGCAGGGAATTTAAGCCAAAATTAATGAACCATGCTTACCATGCAGAGTATGGCAGCCAGACCCTTTCTCCTCAACCTGTAGTCTCGATTGTGCATCAGCTCTTGCCTTGCTATCTTTGCCATCCAGCTCTGTGTACCTTGGTAATTTGTGATACATGTA